AATTAGTTATGTTTGTTAACAAGAAATTAATAATATTTCAAACTAATTTGAATGATATAGGTAGATTTGGTGGTTTAAATTTTGTGGAAAGATCCCAGGAACTATGTAGATTTTGTAGTTAAGGTGGTAGGGAGAGATTTTAGAGATTTCGTTTGAACATGTGATCTGTCGAATGTGGGAGGCCTAAAAYGTCGATGGATAAAATGGAGAAAGGTTGCAACGACGATATGGGCATGAAAGGTGTGGAAGGATAAATAAGGAATTACACACCTCCCCAAATTTTAAGAAATCAAATTTGGCCATGACATGCAATTTAGGAAAACTTTGGCCATTTTTCTTAACGGTCAGTATGCGTAGTCATTCCTAAGGATTTCCCATTTAATTAAGTCACTTATTGATTCAATATAATGACTCCTAGACTAATTTGGGTTCAAGCCAAATTGCTAGATTTCTGGGCTTATTTTATTTGATCTGGCCTAGTTATCATATAATGCAATTTGATCCAGCTAGCTTATATGATCAAATGGTCACAGRAGAATACGTGGCAGTTCATGATTGGTTAAAATTTATCATTCAATAAATGTACTGTTTTTGAGATTTATGCACATGAGTAAACCTTGAAAAAACATAATTTRGAATCAAAATATATGATATTTATTTATGGTTTTGACTCGTGTCAAATTAATTAAAATATGAATTTAGTTTAAMATTTTGATTAACTTTTTTATTTGACACATTTTTCATGCCAATTAATCAAAAATAAAATGACAAAGAGCTGGTTTTTTTTTTCCTTCTTTTCGAACTTTGTAAGTTTTGCCGAAGCTATTTAAATGGTTGAGTCAGGTGTATTAATCAAACTTAATTTTGTGTAAGCTTGATTTATATTAAACTAATGAGTTTTAAAAGTTTTTTACATTATTTTTTGTCGAAAACTTCAAAGACCTTGTTAAGAGTCAAAGACTTTGAAGACCTCAATTTAACTAGAAGCTTGTGGCTTTAAAACCTTAAACRAACAAAAATTTGAAGATTCAATCTCGAGAACAAGCTTGTCATCCCTCGTGTTGATTACTTTACWTTCAAGTGAAATATTAGAAGATTAAATTAGAGATCGTAAATCAAAGTTTTTTTCTTGAATTAAATTTTTTTTGAAATCTCGTGTGAGCAAACACAAATGACTCTTGTKGTACATAATCATTAATTTTTTCAAATAAATAATGATTGAAGACGTCATTATGRATAGTGTATAAAGTACATATATTAGGTACATCCTTAATCTAGTTGATATGCTTCCATAATTATTGTTAGTGCTACAAGTATTATATAAATTGTATATCTATATCTATGCTATATCTAAAAGAAGCTATGGAGGAGAATCTTTACCTCTCCATTTTGCCCCCAACTTTTTAAGATATACCAAGTTTACCATTCATCCATATTATATATTCTTCCATGTACCTCTTCTACGGGATGCTATTATTTTAATGAGGTGTCTGTTTAGAGAAGCAATACGTTCAAGAGGTATGACTGTTCTTCCTGTACAAACCATTTATAGAAGCAGTGCGTCCGCTGATGAAGAGGTATGAATATTCTTCCTTTACAAACCATATATAAAAGGAAAGAGTGTAAATTAAAAACTCATATATTCTTTCTCCCAAAATGTCTACGAAAATCCTTTTTTTTTTTATCAAAGAACTCATACATTTCCAAAAGGAGTGGAAATTAAAAGTWTTTGTTTTTCGTAGGGGAAACATTGAAGTAGGTCAAAATCAAGATTTGCGAATACAAATATTAATTTTAGCTGATGAAGAGGTAAAGTATAAAAATTGATGTGAATTCTGAGCGTTATGTTTTATAAATTTCTGTGAATTATTTTACTGTTATCATATTCTGATTATTATTTTTTATAAACTGACATGGAGTGATTGTTGTTTTCTATTTAATTTTTTTTGAATCCCTATAAAATTATATTTTATATTTATATTTATCCCACTTATTATTGTTTTCACGCTCTTTTGGATTTTTTATTTTATGTTTATATATTTTTTTACCTAAGAGAGGAATAAGCATGTCAATACACTTTTATGGTCAAGCATCTTCGTTCTTCATTCCTCATTTAACTATAAATGAAGATCCAAGTTGACATAAATTTAAGAATATACAGAAAAATTGACTATATAACACATTCTTTTTTTTTTATCTTGCAATTCAGCTCCATCTTCATCAGTCACAAATGTTGAGACTTCAAAAACAAAAATTGTATTTATTAATTTTAATTGTTGGATTTCTAAATTGTATCTATTTTCTAGATTGATGTGGGTGGTTCTTGTTATTTTAGATTCTATGTTTATATTTTTTAATTTTGTACGTAGATAGAATCTAAATTCAAAAATCTATTTAATCTATTAAAGAGTAGATTATAAAATTATGTATTCTTGTTATCTTTTAACTTTTAGTTTTTTTAGATAAATTTAATCTTCGTATGTAGATTATTTTTAAATTTTATATATTCATGATACCTTTGTGTTTTAATATGTAGTTAATGTTATTTTCAAGTTTAATTTAATATTCAGTTAATCTTATTTTAAATTTTAAAATATATTCATGTTATATTTTAGTATTAATTTTCCTATTTATCTTAATACGTCTTTTTGATTCATGTAGTTCTTATTTTATTTTTCTCGATCGTGTGATTCTTTATCCTACATTTTTTAAATGATTTCATGGCAGTACACATTATTCAGTTTCTTTCTCACATTTCAATTCTTAATTTCTCTTATTGAGATTTTATTTTTATATTTTAAAGGTGCAGTATCATTTATATTTATCATTTTAAAAAAATGATATTTGATTTGTCAATTTTCAATTTAAAAAGTAGCTTAAGAGTAATAAATGAACAATTTTATTTATTCCTATTGTTATTTTGACTATCTAACAAATAATTTCATTGTTTGGATTTTTAGTTACATAATTTGATTTAATATATCATGTCTTAGTTTTCTTATTTTTAAATTTATAAAAATGTTTTTAATTAAAAGTTGATAACCACATTTATTATTTCAAATTTATATCATATTCAATGTTTTCTACGCATCTTATTTTATTGTCTTATTTTTTAGTTGGAATAATGTATTTTTTATATAAAATACCAACGAATACTAATATATTTTATTTGAATAACTAAATATTAGTACCGTTTAAAAATTGGGTTTAGTTGGCATTCTATACGTTAAATGTTAGAGACATTATATTAAAATATTTAAAACCACGTGTATTGCACGTCATATTAACTAGTTTTCTTAAAATAGAAAAAGATATATTTCATTTTTTTTAGGTATATTGTTTTGATGTTCATATATATATTTTGGTG